TGCTTATCAGTGTATTTTTAATGACAGTAAATGTGAATCATAACTTCCAGTGCATGATGCTTGTCCTTGCACCCAGGAGAATAGAATGGTACCAGCTGGAAGAGGATATGAAAGCAACAGTGGTGCACATCAGAGCACGTAGGAGTAGTTCTCTTAAGTAAAGCTTTAATTCTGGGACATTAAATCTACCACCACTTTCAAGTTTCATGTATATTTATGTGAACAATAGGAGAGGGTGTGCTTTGTGAGGAAGTGCTGCCCCAAAGGTGTAGCTGATGAGAATGTTGAAGAAACAATATCAAAGCACAGACTGAGCTATTTGCCATTCGGTGCAGATATGTGTCTACCTTTGGCTAGCACAAGCAGAACACAGCGCTAGCAGGATGTGCTCCTGAGTCTAATGGAGCCTCAGGGCACTCCTGAAACACAAAATGAACAACCAAACTCTGCTTTTTTTCTTCATCCTCTAGAGATCTGTTTCTAGGAAACTCAGACGGAAGACTTGGTGGAGGTTTTTTGTTGGTTTTTAGTTTTTATTCTTAGAACCAGGCTTTGTGGTTCTTGAAGTAGAACAGTTTTCCTGTCTTGTGGGAGGATCACTAACTGAAGTCATAATCATGAAAGTTCAGGTGCTAAAAGTTAATAGATAAAAGTGAAGTGCCCTCTTGGCTGAATGTCTGACTGTGTCCTGGTTTCAGCTGGGATAGGATTATTTTTCTCCCTAGAAGCTGGTACAGAGCTGTGTTTGGCCTTAGTATGAGAATAACACATTAATGATTAAGGGAGTGGAACATCTCCCTTATGAGGAAAGACTGAGGGAGCTGGGTCTCTTTAGCTTGGAGAAGAGGAGACTGAGGGGTGACCTCATCAGTGTTTACAAATATGTAAAGGGTGGGTGTCAGGATGATGGAGCTAGGTTTTTTTCAGTGATGTCCAGTGATAGGACAAGGGGCAATGGGTGTAAACTGGAGCATAGGAGGTTCCATGTGAACATCAGGAAAAATTTCTTTACTGTGAGAGTGACAAATCACTGGAACAGGTTGCCCAGGAGGGTTGTGGAGTCTCCTATGTTGGAGATATTCAAGTCCTGCCTGGACAAGTTCCTGTGTGATGTACTCTAGGTTACCCTGCTCTTGCAGGAGGGTTGGACTAGATGACCTTTTGAGGTCCCTTCCAACCCTTGGGATTCTGTGATTCTGTAATGTTTTAGTTGTTGCTAAGTAGCACTTAACCTTTTCAATCTCTCATGCTCTGCCAGTGAGGAGGGGCAGAGACAGGACACCTGACCCAAACTAGCCAAAGGGGTATTCCCAGGAAAAATGTTTGCAATGAAAGAACAAAACCTGATTTCATCAATGCCAGTTTGAAGAGGATTTTTTCCTAAATTTAATTTTACCAGCATAGCGTAGTCACATGCACTGAGTAAATTGAGTATTGGATCTAGTTTCTTAAAAATTAAATGTTCTGGGCGCAAGAGAATACAAATAAGCATACAACATGAAGGCTATTTTCAAATTCAGAAGCATCTCTTTGTACTTAAAATTGTGATAGGATATTGCTGGCAGAGTACTAATTGTATTAGAGCATCTGCAGAGGAGAGTCAGTCAGAGCTTGATTTTTAAGGGTCAGAAGTAGGAACTGTGGTCAACAAAGCAAATCTGTCATTCTCTGTGTATATTGCCTCAGCGAAATACCTTGCATGCATTTACCAATCACATTAAAGAATACACTTTCATTCATCCCACAGCTGATGCAAATCCCTTTGCTCTTCTCTTCCAGTACTTCCACCACTGCTGTCTTTCCCCTCTGTTCAGATACCTTAACTCTCCCTCAAGCCCTAACACTGTTACTTCTCATTACTGGTATTTCTGAATGACAGTCACTGGCATCTGAAAAATAAATTGAATCTTAATATCAAAATATAGAGCAAACCATTACAGATAATATCAGTATTCATCATCACAAGCCATATCTCCAAAACTCAATACCTTCCTTGTTTGTTTTCTTTCATTTGCATGTCTTCTATCCTTCTAATTCTGAGCATTCATCTGACATTTGTTTGTTTAATTTTTAACCTTTTAAACTAGAAAAATCAGGTCCATTCTGCACTGGGTATGCTGAAAGACCTGTGCATGGAACAGCTAAAACCTATGGACTATGATAGCTCAATGGAAAGAGATGACCCATCAATATGCCATCAGAGACCTTGTAGCATTTAAGTTTTCTAAATATTAACAGTGTGCTAGGAGGAACTGAGTAATAAGAGTAACTTTAAGCCACGAGGATTAAACCCCTCCCTCTCTGAATTGTTGGTCGGGGGGCTTGTTTATTTCGTTGTGTTCTGTAAGGTACCAAGGGCTACCCAGCAGAGGTAACAACCTTGGATGGGTAACACAGTATTAAAGCCAAAGTGGCTAAATGGCTGAACAACTTTATTGGGAAGCAACTGCATGGCCCCACACCCTCAGCATTCTTGGAGAATACATTAGAAAGACACAATTAGTTTTTGTGTGATGTAGCCGTGAAGTGCAAATGTTCAGAAAGCATGGAACACTTAAAGCAAATGAAGAGAGTAATTAGCAGAAAATGAGGAGCAGACGTGAAGGGCAAAGGCAAAAGGTTTATTTTATGTATAAAGGTAGGAAAGTTATGTACACATGCACAATGTAGTTAAGAATACACAAGTACAAAGAGGAAAGGAGCAACATTTCGGAAGCCAGGATGACAAGGCATTAGAGGATGGAAAGAATTCAGTTATAGGTGTATATGCAGTAGAAGAAAGAGTGAACTGGTGCTCTGCTTATATATTCTAAATTAATAACTTCCACATTGCTGTAAATACATATAAAACCTGTATTTAATATTGTATATACACTCATATCAAGTTTCTAGTATTGAAGAGAAAAAGTTTTGGAATCTCTATACAGATTTATTCTTGGCTTTTCATTTTATACATATTGCTATAGTATGTGTCAGACATACTGTTATGTCATGTATTGCTTTCTAACTTCCTTCAACAGGAATACCCGGACAAAATTTTTGCTTATTGTACTGTATCCTGTAGCATATATTCTATAATGTACGTAACAGTTCAATTTACTTATGAGAGCTGAACTAAACCCAGTAGAAAAACAAAGCAAACAACACAAATAAACTTGATTGTGATTTTTGCCACTTTAAATTTGCAAACAAAAACTTGCTTTGAACAGCTTTGATTTGTAGCATCAGTGTTTTCATTTGAATTTTCAAACTTTCATATTTATTTGCTTTCAGTTAGCATTCCAAAATGATGTGATAGTTTTCATTTCAAATTATTTGTGTTTAAATTTCTCACTGTTCATTTCAATAATACCAAACCGAGTAACATTTTTAGCTGTGATTAAATGAAAGGTACAGTTTGGAATAAAATTTTCAACATAATCTGTTGTTTATTATTTTAAGTAAATATATTGTACTTAAGTTTTCATACTAAGGCAGGTGCTTGAGACAGGAATATGTGGCATATCACAGGGATGAATCACAGCTTTTTTCCACAAATATGCAAAAATGTATTTGTTTTTGTCAGGTTTGAAGAGTGGGAACTAATATCAATGGGCTCAAAGACTTCTTCAATAGATCAGCTGCTCTCCCTGGAGTCATAAAAACCTCATTGTTAGTGTTAGCTAGCCTATTCTCTAACTAACTCTGCTATATGCCGTATCAATAATAAAATACAACTTTCTACATGGTTATCTTTTGTATCATCACTCAAGGACACTATTTACGTTTAAAGAATTTTAGAAGAGAACAGAATCTATACAAATATGGTCATGAATGCCCAAAGAAATGGATGCCCCATTCATAAATAGGTTTTGCTTTAAACAATTGTTCAGAAAAACAGAACCTCAGTTTTCACTATTCTTTTGTTTTGTGCAATGTATTTCAGTTGTGTCTACACTCTTCAAAGGCAACTACTCAGATGTTTTGCGGTAATATTTTTTGCTAAACCTCCCAATATTCATAATTTTCAGGCCCCTTATTTTCATTCTTTAAAGAATCCATGGACAAGCAATCCACTGATTGGTCCACCTTGATTGCTTCCTAAGAAAGAAAAATCCCATATTTTTGTCTGATGACACTCGTATTTATTGATGGAGAACATAGAGTTACTTGAAGTCGTACAAATCTTAGAACAAAGAAAAAAATCTCAGCTTTTAAGGTCTGATGGACTTACTGGGCCTTTCTTGAAAGAAGAGTCATGGTGAAAATTAAGAAGGTTGTATTTTAACTCAGTATTACACACTGGAGTTGTACAAGCTACTGGAGCAGAGGTTCAGAATTAGTGATACCAGTGCAGGATTGCCACTAATTCAAATGGGTGTGAAGTGTCCTCACGACATTGCCAATTGCTAATCCAAACCATTAGCTAATTATCCCAAAATATCCTATATTAATTCACAGATGGGAGACTTAACTACTGAAGAAACAACAATGAATGTGCTATGTGATGCAAAGATAGTTGCCATCTGTAAGATTTAATGGTAAAATTTCCCTTTTTGAAGGCAGTGGGTCTTTGCCACTCATTGCAGTAGGGTTTGAACGTCACAATCAGTAAACTTACAGTTCTTGTTAGTATGTATTGCCTTTTGACGTGTACCACTGTTGTCCACTGGCAGTGTGTATGTGGTGAAATGCTCTGGTGAAGGGGAGATGAAACATTTTCTAGCATTTTTTCTAAAAGTAAGTGAAAGAACTAAACCAGATCCAAAGCAATTCATAGAAAATCATTCAAAGATATATAAAACAAGTTTTAAAACTCTGATTTTTGTATTGGTTTGCTAAGCCGTTTGGCCAAGGCATCTTTTGCTGCATGAAAACACAAAGGTTTAGACTGCTTAATAGTCTTCCTGATCACCCCACTCGACTGCTGGATCATCATCCATTCGTAGAATAAGATAAGAGAGAAGCTGAAAGAGATTCTGCCACAACAGTAAAGAGACAAAAAAGGAGAGGTCGCTTACATCTATCTCACAGCGGTCTCCAGCATAGTTCACATCACAGAGACAGTGAAACTTGTTGAGAAGGTTCTGGCAGAGGCCTCCGTTCAGACACGGGTCAGAGCTGCACTCATCAATGTCCTTTTCACACCTAGAGTAAAGATTGCAAACAGTGAGCATCTGAAATCACAAATCAAATGTACTGGATAAGTACATTTTTAATTCAGAAGCTTTAGGGGCAAGGAAGAGGAGGATGATCTATTTGAAATCTGTGACATATATCCATGCGTTTATGATTTTACTAACTACCTGATTAGCCACACTCAAATCCTGAGCTTCCTGTATTATTTTCAAGCACAGACAGCTAAGCCAGAAATTTCATTTCTGTAAAGCATTTTATGGTTAATGGTGCTTATCCAGGTGAAATGAAAGTTTGTGTGTGACTTTAGACCTAGATCTGACACAAGCCCTGCTTACAGCTTGCTTATCCAGTGTGTTTGTTCTGGGAACATGAGGGCGCATTTTCCTTCTCAGTAGTCTGGATGTAAGTCAAACAAATGCATGGGTTTTTTTCCCAGCTGACTGCTCCTGGGAATATTCACCTGCCATTTCTCTTCCTCATTTTTTTCTCCTCAATTCAAAATGCCAGTAGACCCCAGCAGAATCTCCTACCCGGTCTCTCTGAAATCACGCCCAAGAATAGTAAGAACAGTGCAGAGCAGGGTTTCACCAGCTTAAGTGTGTATCATTGCATGGTTTTGAGTTAATTCTGATGATAAAGGAAATTTGAGTTCTCATAATTTCTCAAGGCCACCAATCAAATATTAATAAGGAATTTGTGAGATGATTGTCTGAAAACTAGTCGTGATCTGGTTATTTTCTGCTCTGATAATGTTCCCTTTTAATTCTCTGCTCCTTTTTTTTTTTTTGAATAATAGTAACAGTTATTCCTAATTTTTCCAGATAAAAAAGCAGGTTTAATCTTGAGGAAGAATGTGAGATTCTCCTTCTGAATTACAAGGAATTGCTTTCTCCAGTCACATTCACAACCGTGCAATACACTTTCAGTGGTGCATTAGAGAAGAGCAGTTCTTTATACTAAAAACTTTTATATAATTTTTTTATTAAAATCTAAAATCACTTCAACAGTTTTCCGTCAATGGTAAATTGTATTCATGCAATTCAAAAAGCTAAATTAAAGTACTTTTCCAATGTATAAAAAATTTGATACCTCTTTTTATGAGCAGTAACCTTTCCATATTTCCCTTTCCATCTGTTACTAAGCTCATTGAACTTTTTTTGTGATCCTAATTCATTGACATAGAAAGATATAGTTTTCTCTATACTGTGCATCAATGGCTTTCTGGGGGATGAAATATTGTCTTGAAGGAAAATGCCTATTTTATCAATCTGATACATAAATATACAAAGGATTTGGGGTTTAGTTTTCTTATTAACTGGTATATTTGACTTTGTTTTGAAAAAAAGGAGTGAAATTTTCATGTTTGATATACTATGATCTGTAAGCACAGAAGTACTACTGGTACATGGTTTGACAGCCTGGAGGAAAAAAAGGATAAATAGTCAATTTTAGACACTGGAGAAGAATGCCTTTCTGCAATAGTCAGTTAAAGCACAGCATGCTCGGTACAAAGCTGCCATTCAATATGAGAATCATGGGAACCATAAATTGGAGAATATTGCCAGCCAGTGGCATGGATATAAGGAAGGCTCATTCCCAAAGCTGTAATTAGGAAGTTGCCTGGCAGGGAAAAGAAGGACAAAGTACTTTCTTTCTACCTCGTAGTCCCAAGAAGCATACACACCAGAGAAGGGTCTAAGAATATGCTTCTACTTTTTTATGTTTTATTTGCTTTGATTTTTCCACCTTTTTTTTTTTTTTAAGATTTTGAGGTGGTGAGTTAAGTGGTGCAATGCATTTTGACATGCCAACTGCACTGTGCATTGAGTGGGAATTTTCATTTCATTTATCTTTTATAGCTTACTGTGCCGTTCCTACAAAATCAGTGTGTTTGGGGGAGAATGAAAACCTTTTGTTGAAAAGTTTGTGTTTGCAGAGCCAGCTTTGCTTGGTCCTGTTGAACTTTTGGATTTTATACTCCAATGTAATGCTGATTTCACTAAAAGCACATGTGGTATTTCCTTTCTCACTATCCAAGAAGGTCCCCTTACCTGTTCAAACTATATTGTTAATAGGACAGTGTCTTCATAGAATCATAGAATCATAGAATAGTTAGGGTTGGAAGGGACCTTAAGATCATCTAGAGCCATGGGCAGGGACACCTCACACTAAACCATCTCACCCAAGGCTCTGTCCAACCTGGCCTTGAACACTGCCAGGAATGGAGCATTCACAGCCTCCCTGGGCAACCTATTTCAGTGTCTCACCACCCTAACAGTAAAGAACTTCCTTCTTATACTCAATCTAAACCTTCCCCTTTTTAAGGTTTAACCCATTACCCCTTGTCCTATGACTACAGTCCTTAATGAAGAGTCCCTTCCCAGCATCCCTATAGCCCCCCTTCAGATACTGGAAGGTTGCAATGAGGTCTCCACGCAGCCTTCTCTTCTCCAGGCTGAACAGCCCCAACTTCCTCAGCCTGTCTTCATACGGGAGGTGCTCCAGTCCCCTGATCATCCTCGTGGCCCTCCTCTGGACTTGTTCCAACAGTTCCATGTCCTTTTTATGTTGAGGACACCAGAACTGCACACAATACTCCAGGTGAGGTCTCACAAGAGCAGAGTAGAGGGGCAGGATCACCTCCTTCGACCTGCTGGTCACGCTCCTTTTGATGCAGCCCAGGATACAGTTGGCTTTCTGAGCTGTGAGCGCACACTGAATCTGGCTCATCTTCCTGTGTTTCTACAGCACCTGAGGCTGTCAGGCCTCCCTGCTTTAGGGCTGATCGTAGAATGTTATCAAATGGTAAGTGTGAATTGCGACAATATGCTACAAGATACAAATTTCACTGTGAGGAATATCCCTCTGTCTCAGACTAAACTGTAATATGTAAAAAGTATTTATTCTCAATATAATAATTCTGTTTTCATAATTCAGTGTTGAGTAAGAAAGTAATAAGCTTTAATATGACCAGGTATTTCTTCTCATACAACCCTTGTGAAAGAATATATTCACAACATGTATATGTGAAAAAGAAACAGCTTTGCATATTTGTGTGTCAGTGTATTGTATCTGATTTTTATCTGTGAGCAAGGTATGTGTCCCCACCTATGGAAAGATAACATTCTAGCTTGTCACAAACAAGCATTGGCATGAATTGTCACAAACAGAATTGGCATGGAAGTCAAAAAACACACGTTTTTAACGGAAGCAACCGTAAGATGTTGCCTAAGAAATAGTATCAGTAACTGGAGTTAGTGGTGCTGTGTTGGATTGATTCTTGCTGCATTGATTTGTCTTTTTTTTCTAAGTAAGACCCTCAAAGTCATTTAAGCAAGGAACTGCTGAATTAAACAACTGATTTGTCTGTATTTCTGCAGGAGATCAAAACCTCCATGGCCATTACCCTCTGGACCCATCTGGAACAGCTTTTGGAAGAATTGCTCCAAAGAGACCTGCTGAGCATCTCACCGTTCTCCAGCAAATCCTGGCAGGCACACACAGGTCAACTCGCCACTGAGATCAGTGCAGTTGCCGTAGTTGAAACATGTGAGGTTTCTCTCTTCGTTCCCACAAACTGTATATGGTAATCTTCTGTATCTAGGTAAGTAAAATGGCAATGGCAGTTATTTGCACTTTCCTCATTTCTGTGTATCTTGTGCTCTCTCAGCTTTTCACTTGACTCTAGTCCAATTCTTTGGTGGAAAATATTTAGATCTACCTTATAAATTTGTTATTTAAGTGCAGAATCTAGTTCTGTTAGTCTCCAAATAGAGGGAGCAGTGCTCCTGCTGGCAAGTACTATTCAATACCAATGGGAAAGGCAGTATGTTTTACCTGTATATGAACACAAAGTTTCAGGGGATGCACATTCTCAGTGCCTCCTTGTGTGTCCTCTTGGAAAGGAAATGTCACATCTGTGAGCATTGACACACCTGGAGCCTGGGGTACTCAGAGTGCTCACAGCCAGTGGTAGGCAGCAACTGAACCAGGGAAGCAATGCTGTTACTGGTTGAGGTATTGACCAAAGGAAAGACAGCAGGAATGGAGGTTTAAAACTCACAAAACCCTCTTTGCTTAACTTTAATTTGTTGAATTTGGTTTTCCTTTTCCAAATATTTACTGGCAACCTAATGATTCTTTTCTAGAAAAAAAAGGGTAACACTCTACCCACATTACGGGCATGCCTCTGTGTGAGAAGTGGACAGCTTAGAGTACTTCAAAAGACAGAATTAGCATACAAGATAGAGCATATCAAGCCAATATAAGGTATCTTCAAATCTCAGGATGTCTTCACTACCCCAAAAAAAAGTGAAAAAACAAAAATTGACAATTGCGTAATTATAGCCTAAAAGAATGTGGTTGGGCAGCATGAAAACAATTGTCTGTTTGCATCCATGAAGCTGCATCAGACTGGGTTTGTTAGAGTCCTTTGGAGGAAGGAGAAGGGGTTTTCCTTCTCTGAGAACAACAGGACATGCTCAGAAGGGAGATGTTTATGGTGTGCAGAGAAGGGCAATTAAAGAAGAGGCAGATCACGGAACAGCTGCAGCCTTTACAGACTTGTGTCTGAGAAGATTAGGAAACAGACATATGAGGAGTCTCAGAAGTGATGTCAATAGTGGGCTTTGTGGTGTCTGCAGTCACCAGCACTGCTGGGCTGGGAGAGCAAGCTTGGAGGAAAAGACCCACCTAACAAAGATACAGTGGGTGGAGAGAAAAACTTCTCTACAAGCCATTGTCATTTTTTTTTACCCACCAACTCCGAATTTCTCTACTTACAGTTCTAGAGATCTATTACTGTAATATAGTTTAGAGATTCAAAACCCTTAAAATCTTCATTTCTAAGAAAGATGGGACACATGTTTCTGAGCTCTGGTAGACTTGTAATCCTGTCATCAGAGTCTGTAGAACCCAGGCTGGCAGCAGAGCTGGGCAGCAGAGCTGTGCCTTGTTTCTTGTCTCCTTGCCTCATCGGTGTCTGCCTGAGCTGCCAGCTCTCCACTGCCTCAGCCCACACCTAATTGATCTGTACAGCTTTCTGTACTGCAGACTCTTTATATGTTAATTCTGCAGCCATGATTAATATATAGAGATGCGTAACATCTGTGTTTAAAATGGAGACATCAGTGATGCAATTACCCTTCAGAAGAGACCTGGCAAAATCATGCGGATGTGCTTTGTTTATAGTACCTGCAAAATTTTCCTGTGAAGTTACCAGCACACAGGCAAGAATATCCATTAATCCCATCGATGCAAGTGGCCCCATTTGCACACTGGTGGCCACGGCAGTTGTCTATGTCTTCTTCACAATTCACCCCTGTGTAACCAGGTTCACAACTGCACTCATAGGAGGAGACCCCGTCAGTGCAGTTTCCATGAATGCAGGGGTTTGAAGAGCATTCATCTATGTTGACTTCGCAATGAGTGCCAGTCCATCCTTTTGAACATATGCAGCGGTAGGAAGTATAGAACTCTTCACATATCCCCTCATGCATACAGGGATTTGAGCTGCAGACATCTACTTGCAAACAGCCAGTAAGCGCAGGATTTGCGGATATTTTGAGAAATTGCTCCTCTTGAGGTTTTTTTGTAGGGATGTCAGCATTTTCGAAGTATGAGAGATAAATGCCACTGATTTCTATGGTGCTCATACATCCTCGCAGCCCATCCAGACTGTCAAAAGCCTTGTCAGCCACATAGATGTCTGTCTCTTCTCTCAAAAAGTTGAGGCTTCCTGCAGCAGTTGTACTAGTTGCAGTGTCTTTCTTGTTGTCTATATCAATGTGCCATCTAGAGAACTGGGACAGGGGCTCTACCATAGAGACCACCACTTGATGCCATTTCCCATCACTCACAGGCAGCGAACTAGCAAGGGTCAGCTTATAAAAGCTGTTGCCGCTTTGCAATTGAAAGAGTAATTTGGAGTTGCGGATGCTGATGGTAACAAACTCTGGCTCCTTCTCTGCAAACAGCAGTATCACATCAGTGTCCCTAGTTCGAAAGCCAAATACGATACTGGTGAGGTCTCTGCTGATTTTCCCATTGCTTCTGTAAAATATCGCACTGCTTCGGCCACTGAACACTGCATTAGCAAGACCTGTGCAAAGATAATAATTGAGAAATCAGGCCAGCTTTAAACCTATATATGTGGAACAGTATCTCTTCAATGCCCCATGTTCCCTGACTTATAAGTCCTTTCAGGTTTGCTGAAAAGCAATCAAATTCCACAAGTGTATCAGTTTATCCTTGTCTGCCCCTTATGGCTATAGAAATTACAGAGCAGTGCAAGCTATACTGACATCAAAAGTGTGCTGCTTTGCATCATCTCAAGTTGTATTCTAAAGGTATAATTCTACATTAGTATTACCTTTATTTTTCTTTATTAGACAAAGAGAAGGAGATGATCATAACTGCATGCATCTCACAGCTGAGGCTGGGAGGGTATTTCAAAACAAGAAATGTCATTTTGGGTTTGTTCCCTAGTTTTGTACAGCAAGTTATTGCCCATGACAGGCCTGAATGGGGTGAACCTTTGTTCTCAATTTCTGTTTTCTTAGGTAAAGCATTAAAAAGGTTTTAAAAAAGTGTTTGATTAGATCCCAATTTACTCTCACTGGTGATGAATTTAATTGAAGTCAGTTGACAAAAAGTCCCTTTAAAATCAATGTAAGAAGAGTCGTGCTTGTCACATTTAAAACCAGCTTCTCCTGCTGCGTGTGTACTGCCAGAGCTCTGCTGATGGAACAGAGCCTGGGCTGGCTGGGCTGGGAGGGCAGCAGAGTACTCAGCTTGCACTGCTGTGAGTGAAAATTGATGGGTAACATTGTGGCAGTTTTATGGATGTCTTCACAAAGGTATTTGACATCTTTCATTAGCATGGTTTCTACTAAAATGCACTAACTCGCTGGGCTGTAAATTTGCACATTCTGAGATTTACGAGGATTATCGATAAGGAGGAGGGACAGGAAGGAATGTCTTCTGTCCATTCTTCAGACAAATTTAGCTTTGTAAGATACTAGCACTGAGATAAGGTGGGTTTCTGATCTATCTGTGGGCTCAGAGATAGATCAGATGTAAATCTGGATGAAAAGAACCCCTGGGAATCACAGTAAGAAATTATTAACTGTATATCCTGATGCTGAGGCAGCAGAGGTGTAACCACACTGCCTTGTGCATCAAATGTGTGTCTTTCTCATAGCAAAAGTTTCCTCAGAGGAAACCCCACTAAAAACGAAAGTCAGAACTTTTATTTCTGATCTGTTTAATGTCTCAGAAAGCTGAGAGTTTCAAGCTCATAATTCTAAAATATTCCTATAGAACTCATTACTAAATCCTGAGTGCAGCAAGCTGTCTGGGTGTGCTTCTACTCTCAGTTGTGACACTGGGAATACAGATTTGCTATCAGTTACTGTTCCACACATCCGCTTCCTGTATTCACCTTTCTCTTATTTCTGGAGGGTGTGTTTTCCTACTGGGCTTGCTAATCATAGCCATCTAGGTTCAACTAGAGCCACAAGTGTCTGAAAAACAGCTCTTTCTCTGCCTTAATTTAAAACGGTACCCAGAGCATAACACAGCAGGCTGGCAGAGAAGTCACTGGCCAGCAAATCTCCTTGTTTTTTCATTACCCTGTGCTGTACAACAAGTCTATACTGTAGCTAAGAAAACAACTAGTTAAAAATACAGCTCTGTAGGGCAGTTCTTTTTGAATATTTATTAGGGAAACTCCCTACTATTGCCACATAAACCAGCACAAAAATCGAAACGTGATCTAACTGTACATTACCTTGATTTTAGCAAAAGGAAAAGGTTCAGATACTTTTCACTTTGCTGTATGTGCGTGTTTATGTTCTACTGTAACAGGCAATAGTAAAGTTTATGAGAGAACTTATTTGGATATTAGCATTAAAGCCATCTATTAGAGAAGGTGCAATTATTTTAATTTCAGTTATAAATTTTAACAAGTGGTGCAATGCTGATGCTAACAATCTCAACAAAAATAGCACCCTATTGGTCTGTCAGCAAATTGTCTATGATAGAAAGCTTTTGTTGACCAACCTTCTCATTCCTAAGAGTCAGGCATTCTAACAGCTTCCACCAGACTGTGTGTGTATTTATCTTCTTCACAGCATCGTTAGGGCTCTCTTTGATAGCAAAAAGAAAAAATATTGCTTCAAAATTCTTACTTGCTTTTTAAATTCCACTCCAGGGTGGGAAGGAGAAGGAAAGTGGAAAAAGAAAGAGAAATGCAGGGTGGCTAATGTTCTTAAAGACAGCTAATGGCCATCAATTTTTACATGGTGTGCAGGTGCTTCTTAGGAAGTTACTAGTTGAATAACTGTTGGTATTATATCTTCCTTCAAAGATATTTAACATTTAAGAAAATCAAATGATGCAATGTATGTCATATAGCTTATCTTTTCAGAATGATGGACAACATTCTAAGGTTAATCCAACACTGAATATCCTCTTATCTCTTTACAGTGAAAATATGAGCGGTACACTTACACTCTGGCAACATATTGATCTATTGTACAACCTCGACAAGCTGTGCTGAATAAGTCAAAAGCAAAGGTCTTGTAAACATCAGTGTCTGTGTCAGGGGGTCTGGTTGAAAATTCTGTATTTGGTAGGGCAGACTCTTCCTGTTAATGTTACTTAGAATAGACATAATTATTATTTTCATACAGAAATAACATTTGAATGAATGAACCTTAAAGGCAATGAATTTTGAGTTTAAGGAAATGATGATGAAAATGTCTATAGTTTCTAATCTCCAAAGTTTACAGGAATAACTGAAATGTACCTACATTCAAATCCCTGGGGTACCAGCTGGCATTGTGCTTCATGAGGACAGGACCCAAGCTCACACCACTTAACTTCCTCGCATGCCTTCCCCACTGTGTAAGGGGGGCACGTGCAAGTAAAGTCATCCCAGATTGAATAGCACACACCACCGTTGTGGCAAGGGTTGGACTATGGGGAAAGAGAAGAGACAACCTAAGTGTCAATAAAAGCTGGTGGACTGAACTCTAAGGTTGAGGGACTGTTTGGCAAAAGAGAGGATTCTGGTTATTTCAGACAGAAAGTGACAAAGACCAGCACTATGACAGCACAGCATGTTCAATTGGTGAAAATGGTATTTCAACCTTAAAATATTTTAATTCTCCCCTATGCAAATACATTCTGCTGCTGATAGTCATCATATGTATCATAACTTAACAAAATCTGCTCTTTCTAGCATTTCTATATACTTCCCTAAGAAGTCATTATCCTCAAATAATGTATGGGAATGTACAAAGGATTAAAGGGAATCCCCCATTTTAAACATGTGAAAGTGCTCTGAAACATGTAATTCTTACCTTGCAGAGGTTGTCAGTAGTGCAGCCTTGGGTGACATTGATAAGAGTTCGATTGGTAGCAGAATTCAGTGGATTGGTGATGGGGAAGAATTCCAGTGGCTGGTTATTCACTCTTGCATCTTGGATGCAGCCTTTGAAATACCTGCCATTTTCATCAGTTTCTTTGTTATCTGGTAGGCCTCCAATGTAAAGAATATCCTTACTTTGGATGGTTAGGAGTGGAGTAGAAATAAAGCCTAGGTATTGAGAGGACTGGAACAATTCTACCTTATTGGGTTCTATTTTTAATGTTATTAAGTAAAAGTTTCCATCATTCATAGAGTGTTTCCCGAATAACTTAGTGGAATTTAGAACTAGTACTGTGAGTTTCCCACCTTCTAAGTAGACTCTTATGTAGAGGTAAGTACTGTTTCTCAAAGCCAGTAACAAGCCAGAAGATTTGCGTGTTCGGACAAACATTGATACGTTCAACTTTTCATTCTGAGTGGCATCCTGAGTGGCATCAAGAGGAAAAGCAGCATAGCCAGAGGAGTCTTCAGATCCAAACCGGCCTGGAATGTACTCTTGAGGTTAGAGATATGGGAAAAGATTAAAAAAAAAGAGAGAAGGTAGAAAAATGAAATTGTTAGGGCTAAATGACAAGAAAGCCAATGATCAAACAGCTACTTGATAGTATTTACGTATGGTACTAAGATGTGCTGTTATTTATGGGTGAATAAAGACTTGATCCAGCTGTAAATAGCTTCTATTTCAAAATTCCTCTTGGCTTCCATGGCTGTAGCATTAAGCCCCAGTACAGGACCAGATGTTATGTTATTGGGCATATTTTTCCCCTTTATCATGCTCTGTGTAATGCTGTGTTTTCAAATGGCTAAACAAGGACAGATTTCTACAGTTTCCTGAGTTGATCCTCAGAAAGATCATTTTGAAAAGAACCTAGCTGCTTTGATCCTGTGGTGACCATGGAAGTTAATGTAATTCTGGAACTTTGTGCTATCTTTTGCACTGATTTCAATCATAGAAATAGCCCAAAGCTTCTCAGCAAAACTTTCATGTGTGAAACCTCCAAATAGGGCACCTATTTGGTGCTGCATAGGCTCCCCAGTTCTCTAACAGACTTTCTGTTGCTGGGGCTCAACACGTGCTTGCATACATTAGCTTGTATCTAGCTGTGAATCCTGCTCAGTCCTATGAGTGCTCATCATGCTGTGGTGTTGAGGGGGAAAAATGATCCAGGATTGAGTAAGCTTTATTTTTTTTCTCTCTTTTTGTGCTTATCAATTAAAATGATTAAACCAAAACCATCTGTCTCTCTCCCTTGCTCTTTATTTTCAGTAATGATTTTCAGACTTGTAAGGATACAAAATATGTAGCCAAACCCGTATTTTATTCTGATGAATCATCTCGTTAAAAGCACAACAAAGTGTTTCTATTTTTACACTTTAAGTTTCGTGATCTTGTCCTCAACATTACAGACTTCCTGCCTAAACACTTTCAAAAGCTATTTTTAATGTCTCAAATTCATAGAAAGAATAATCCAAACTTTTTCTTAAATGCTCACACAGCTAAAGAGTCAACCTCTATTGTGCAGTAAAACTCATAGAGCGAGACCTCATAGGCCAAGTTTCTGCCTGCAGCACTGCTCTTTTTATGACTACATTAAAAAACCCAGTGAAAATAAGGGACTGACTGTGAAGCCCCAACAGACCCTTAATAACCATACTGCACTACTATGCGGCGTGGTAATATTATTTAGCAACAAGAATAGATCCCTTACTTGTTCCTAAACAGACAATTTCTTAAATACATTAAATATGAAACATTCTAATTCTATGAATAAGACTACCTATATATCTACATCTTCTTGTTAAAACTCTGGTATGTAGAAACATTTATTGGTTGAAATGAGTGTTTTGAGGCAATAAATCTCAGAGAAGTTTTATCTTCTCTGTAGGGTGTACTAGAGACCAAGACGTTTTTCTATGAGTGTAAAAAGAAAATTTCTGCTGGAATGAAGATTACACATTTGCAGTATTAGAAGGAAGCATTAATCTTCAAAAGGTATTTCATGTTTACAATGACTTTGTTACAGTTCTATTTATAAAAATACATATATATATATATATATATACACATCATCATTCTGATCTTCTCTTTGATGAGATGGCTAGCATCACCTTGGTCAATATTAACCTCTTGGGTCACAACATCTGGATGTTGATCAAAATGAGTCAACATCTGTTTGTTATTTTGTATATGTAGAGAAAATATTGCCTCTTGTCAATTAAATACTTGGCAGCAACTTTTCTTCAAAAAGACACTAGTATTTCTTGTGTTATCCTTTACTGCAAGTCCCCCCCAACTCTGCCTTTTAAGAAACCTGCCACGGTCTTTTAAATATGGCATATATCTAGACCCTATGTATCAAAATGGCATGGTGCCATGATTTGCAAGGAATACTGTGGTCAGCAGGAAAAAAAAAAAAAAAGCATGCTTTCTAATCATTCTCAACAGTTCTAATGCCAGTATAAGCCTCTCCTGGCCCTGACTGGTTTTAATTTTGCTTCATGTAAGGAGGCAAACATATTTACCAGATGTTGTCCTATGCTCCAAAGTTGCCTTCCAAATCTTAGGATAAATTACAGCTAGACTTCAAAGAAGTCTGTTACAATTACCTCTCAGACTTTGTCATTTTGCAATAAAACCAAGAAGAAAAACTATTGAAAAGTATTGATAACTATTACAAAATGAAATTGCATTTAAACATTTTGAAATGTATTTCAAGCTACAGCTTTCTGCAGCAATGTATTCAATAAACCCCTAAGGCCAGTCATTCAGATGATGTAAATCAATGTATCTTCACTGGCGACAGAGCAGCCATGCCGATTTACACCAGTTTATGGGTGTATGGATTAGAATGGATCTGTCCATTCTAATCTGACCGTGGCTCTGCTGTTGCACTTTATTTTTTTCAGTCCACTTGGCAAATATGTATACACAAATATATGTAAGTATGCATATTTGTGTGCATGCATGCACTTCTCCTTCCCAAAACATTGCTATGATAGACCATGTGTGCATGGTTAGCAAGGGGGCAGAGAGGGAAGCAGAGGCAAGGATGCTGTGTGCAAGACTTATTCCTGTGCAGTTTTCTTCAACAAAACTGCTTGTTTGAAATCCCTAAAACTTATGCTGGGCAAGTATTGCAGAGTCCACCCCAAAATGCTCCTTAGGGATGATGTACTTACAGCTCCAGAGGGTTTCACACAACAGATGCAGTATAGCAGGGAACTAGGCAGGGACCTCCTGTTGTCCTTCCAATTTGACTCAACCTGCACTTGGAAAGATCATTTGTAGCAGGGAAAATGCTAAGGGCATCTGCAGCTTTTGTATTCCTGCCTGTCACTGCCAAAGATGCTGTTTGCTGAGATGTGCTCTTTCATTTGCTGAGACATGAGCAGGTTTTCCGCTGGTCACCAAGCAGCTATCTGGTAATGGCTGCCTTCGTTAGTGATTCTTCAGAGCTGCCTTGGGAATGGCTGAAAGATGAATGGGCCCTGTTTGCAGTCTCTGAAGCCCTGCCTTCTCCTTGGGCTAATCAGATTAAGTTAATAGTATAATCTCTTTCATTTTTTTTTTAAATTGGAATCTCTCTTTTTTTTAACTTGCAGTGCTTCTGCTTGCCTTTCATTACCTTAAATGAGTTTCTTTATAAAAGCCTAGAGAGCTCAAGGATAAAATTTGCAAAGAATGCTTTGAAAGTAAGACTTAAACTCCAAGTGACTTAGTTGCTTTCTAAATTATACTTGGGGTGCATAACCTATGGCGAACTACAGTTTTCCAGTTCATGCCGCGCTAAGAGCTCTAAGAAGATTTTAAAGCTGGATGAGTGGAATCCACCAGTTTAGCCTGACTTTTTTTGTCAGGCTGAAAAGTAACTAGAAAATACTGAAGGTGTGCTACTACTAACCTCTTGCACTTGCTTACCAGCTGACATCAAGCTCCAGAAATCCTAAGGGTTGTGCTGTTTCGTCACCATGGTAACAGGATCGTTTATAATAACTTTTCCAGTAACCATTAGAACACAAGTGCCCACAGCATTTCCTTACCTGTTGCGCAGCTTGGCCCCGTGTATGGCCGGTAGCAATCGCAATGGTAGCTCAGCCACAGGTTGGTACAGCGTCCCCTGTTCTGACAAGGGTGGGTTTCACACCAGTCCTTTTTAGTACATCCTGTCCCGACATTTAAAGATGATTCAGGTGATACATTCTCTGGTGTAATAACATTCAAGTCTATTTCAATGTCCTGAAGACAGCCTACAAATGAAGGGGCAGAATGTATATTATAGATGTTAAGTAGAGAGTTGCCGCTAATGTTCCCCACTGGTAAGCTGCCCAAAAACGTGCTCTGAAATGCAAGCATCATGTGATCGTTATCTATCACAGCAGACGTTTTACTGAGACACGATTCTACACAAGAGCTGTCAAGCAAATTAAGAGTAATAGCTCTTGCCAAGGTTACCTCCACCGAATGCCATTCTCCATCACTGACATTATGTGAAATATGCAAAAGAGCCTGTGGCTTGTTATTGACTTGCACGGATAAGTGTAAGTAGCCGTTCAGTAACTCCAGCTTTGCAAATGTATTTTTCCCCCCTCGGTAAAACAGAAAAGCTGTAGGTTGCACAGTTTGAAACCTCAGGTTTATATTATAGAAAAATTCCTTTTTAGGGTTCAGGGGATTCTTCAACAAAAGAAAACTGTTTCCATGAAAAGAAAATGTGGTTACAGTTTCACAGTGTATTCCAGTATACCCAGGTGAACATATGCAGCTGAATCCGTGTTGGCCATTTTTTAAATGTGGGATACATATTCCATTGTTTTGGCATTGCTGATCAGTACAGCCATGGAGAACTTCTGTACAATTCCAGCCTCCATAATAAATCCCTTCTTTGTCAGCAGGTGGGCAATGGCAAGTGTAATTTCCAGGGAAATTCTCACAGATTCCACCATTTTGGCAAGGGTTCATGTAACATTCGTTGATATCTTCATCACAGTGAGTACCTGAAGAACAAACAAGGAATTAGACATTTTGAGTTGGATAATTGGAGACCCAAACGGTATTTTTTAATAACATCTGTTTCCTTGAATTATCTTTAATTAAAAGGGAACGCCTTGATAAATGGAAGATTGACTCGCAAGCCTATATTATGTTAAATATAAAAATGCCATTCACATGCCATAGTTTTCTTGTGCACAGTATTATATAAACACAGCTACAGGTTGAGTGGAGAAGAGATTCAGAGCAGCCCTGCGGAGAAGGACTTGGGGGTTTTGGTCAATGAGAAACTTAACATGAGCCAGCTTCACTGTGCTCTCACAGCCCAGAAAGCCAACCGTATCCTGGGCTGCATCAAAAGGAGTGTGACCAGCAGGTCGAAGGAGGTGATCCTGCCCCTCTACTCTGCTTTTGTGAGACCTCACCTGGAGTATTGTGTGCAGTTCTGGTGTCCTCAACATAAAAAGGACATGGAACTGTTGGAACAAATCCAGAGAAGGGCCACGAGGATGATCAGGGGACTGGAGCCCCTCCCGTATGAAGACAGGCTGAGGAAGTTGGGGCTGTTCAGCCTGGAGGAGAGAAGGCTGAGTGGAGACCTCATTGCAACCTTCCAGTGTCTGAAGGGGGGCCTATAGGGATGCTGGGGACTCTTCATTAAGAACTGTAGTTATAGGAGAAGGGGTAACGGGTTAAAACTTAAACGGGGGAGGTTTAGATTGGATATAAGGAAGAAATTCAGTAAGTAAGGGTGGTAAGGCACTGGAATGAGTTGCCCAGGGAAGTTCTGTGTGCTCCATCCCTGGCGGTGTCCAAGGCCAGGTTGGACGAAGCCTTGGGTGGCATGGTTTAGTGTGAGGTGTCCCTGCCCATGGCAGGGGGGTTGGAACTTGATGATCTTAAAGTCCTTTCCAACTCTAATTATTCTATAATCCTATGATCTGTGAGAAACTGTTGGAGGGGTTTGAACCAGTATGTCCCAGCAGAATACTCCTGGTACCATGTATCTACAGTGGAACTTTCTTTACCTTTCCTAGATACAAAATATAAAGCAAGAAAAGGTGAAATGAATATTTTCTCAAATATCTCAGAGCTTGTTGATGAGAACACTTCCATCAGATGTGGGCAATACATACTCATATTTCCTCCTCATCCATATAACACTTGGCCTCTGGTATATTGGGTAAAAGGAGCGCTCCTCATCCCAACTTCACTGTAATTCAATAGGTGTGTCCAAGGTATGTCTCCTGGATCAGACTTCGCAAAGGGAAAAAAATCTGTTCCTCCTGCAAAACTAACCTGTTTATCCCTCTGCACTGTTTTTCATCTATAAAGTGGTAATTATAATACCTTCTCCCTTGAGCAATCAAGTGACCGATACGTATGCAATGGATCAGGGAAAATCTGTTTCTTATCTTCTTTGGAAGCAGTTAAAATACCCAAATACTTTTTTGAAAACTCATGCTAAGTGCAGCTCCTAATATTTCCATTTTCCTTCATAGTTATTCTAGAGAAAATAAGAAGTAATTTGCAGTCAGTTTTCAAACTAATATCATCAGCACAAAGTAGTTAATAGGCATAATTATGCAGTGCATCTACCTTTATATGCAAATTTGCATTGAGCATTTTTACAGCAAAACACAAGCATTTTTCATAGAAAATTACAGAGCAGCATTCAGCCACAATGAATTGCTTCCAATGGTAGATAAACATAGTTACTCAGGCTAATTCCTTGCCTGTTGACTTTATTCAATCACAGTCATAAGTAGACCCACCTTGGAGAGGAGTAAGTTACAGGAGAGCCAGAAGGGAACTGAGAATTGGTTGAGATTTGTTTAGAAGATTAGCTAGAGTGAAGTGGTCATAGCATATATATAAAAGGCTCTCTTTGCAGTAGTGCTCCTCACTTATGAGTTTTCAATTATAGAATACAGTTTTCACTTGAAGCTTCAGATTATCAAACACACTAGTGCTCTCTCCCTGGTCTGGCAGCGAGGTTTTACAGCAGCAGTCTTTCCCTGGTTTCCAGCCAGGCTCATACTTACTGCAGTGTGAGATGTCTATGTATACCATAATACGTAGTGGCATCTGGCAGAAATATGACTCATTGGGACTGACTTTCTGAAACTGAAGTGTACTTCCCAAACCATTACTGACTGGGGGCCAGGATGATGTCTGCTTTGCCCAGTTTGTTTCAATTTCTGTGCTAGTGACTTGCCCTGCTTTTGCTGTTCTAGTATATGAAAAGTGAAGTTACCGCGAGCTGTTTCCTTTTTTGGTCAATGTTTTAGTACATCTCATGCCTGACATTGCTCCCTTCCCTGCCTGGACATTGAGAACAATGTGTCCATAGGTCTTGTATACAACTCAGTCTCACTGGGACAGCTGTAGAAATGCAGGTGTCTTGGGGGTTTTCTGTCAGAGACAACAGTGCAGCGTGGAAGCAGTAGGATGAGGGATGTACTTAGCCTTGTTATAGGGCTATGGAGTGCTCAGAGCATGATTAAGGATTTATAGTCTGGGAGCCCTTGTAAAACCTTTCATAGTTGAAGTCAGCAGAGTGAATGGCTGGATACTTAGTCATTGCATTTTCAGTAATGCATGACAACTCTTGGGTATATTAGTCTGTTATCCCATGGCACCTGCAAGGCATCATCTTTGCCTTGTAGCTTGTGGCCTGGGTCACACCCTGAAATAAAGACTGTCTCTGGAAAGGGTGACATAGATGCATAAATTGAAACCAACTTTACTATAATATTTCGTGTCTGTGTTGTTTTCTACTTTACCAAATTAGATATAAAGTTAATGAAATAATTTCAGGAGAATGCTAAACTTCTTTGGAAATCATATATGTTTTTACTTTTAAATTTAGATAACACATCTGAAAAAAATATGTCAATATATAACAAAGAAATAAAATTAATTTTATGAGGAGGTACACATATTATAAAGGTATTCCTTATTTATGGAAAACAAATAACATTAGTTTTTAAATGCAAAGTGGCTACCATAGAGATGCTTAAGTAATTCAGTGTCTGCGTACAATGCTTATTTATTTAAGTAATTATATTAATAATATGTTGCAAAATAATTCTTTTGCAGGTTTTTGTATATATATACATAAACATGCATATACATACATCTATATGCTTACAACTTCACAAGATTAGCACAAACATAAATATAGGTCACACCAAAAAATGAATAATAAGCCATTTTTTCATGTCAAGAATACATAAATCAGCTGTTCTTACAAGCAGCATTGATATTGCTTGTTATCTGCCAGTTATTATACAAGCAAAGACCACTGTCACTCAAGATAAAAGCACTCTAGATAAAAGGATTAACCAATATTTATAGAACTGTACAAGCAGTTCAAATAGCTCAGGTTGGAGGAGAAGTTTAGAATGTAAGAAAAATAGTCTCTAAAGATGTAAGACATACCAAAAGCAAGCACAGGGGGAACTACTGTTTTCTTTTCAGAGGTTATATGAATTAACTCAGCGAAACATGTTTGTATTTTTAAAGTAAAAGGTAAAGTAAAATCATTCAACCTTTTCTCTTCTAAATATATTACACACCCACCTGAAATTTATCATGTTTTTATAGATAATGATTACTTTTTCCTCCTGTGAAGTTTTATTCAAAACAGAGATGAAACAGCTCCTTTACCTCAGTTTGATAACGCCATGCATGTCTCCTTTTTTAACCTGCACATTATTAATATTGGGTAGCTATTTTCTAGTTAGCCTTTTAATTAAACCGTTTCAAACTTAGCAGCAAAAGTTTCCCGCAGAAGAGGGATGACAAACGCTTCTTTCAATTCTGCTGAATGCCACTAGTTTTCGTTTTGATTAAAAATTACAAAAGTATTATCCAAATTAGACTTTTGATACACCTTTTGGTCAGAAATTTGTTTACAGCCTTCTACCTTTCTAGTTCCTAGACGCGACATAAATATCAGGCAAATACAAACAAGCAGTCTACATAGATACTACATGTTCAGTACATTCTAAAGGCACACATAATTTCACAAAAAGAAAGTATTTACCTGTAAACATTGTCATTAAAATGATGTAAACCTGTATCCTAGTTGCAACCATCTTTTTCCAGAGAAAAAGATCATTTAGCACTTTAGCAGTCCACAAAGTAAGTTTCTGTAAAATTCAAAACAGTTCCCAGTATAACAGCTTCCTTTCCAGGATTAGCTTGCTCCACTTCTGTACCTGCTGATGTAGTCTGATGGTGTATTTTGCCCAAGCCAGATCAACAAGGCTTAAACTAAGACTCATTAAACTGCTTACGCAATGGATATGTATTCTACTTAAATTCTTTTTCAGCATGTTCTGTCCAAGTGTGCTCACACTAAACTTTGATCAGGTTTCACAGAAAGGCATATTTTTAGGATCCTTCAAAACTGATTTGTCACTTTTTGGAGTTTTACAAGGTGCTGGGTTTTTTTAAGACCATATTTTCTTTAATTTTCAAGAGATTTGTTAATCCAGATCAACCCTTTCATACTCACTGTCATTCAGACAAACTGTACATCTCAAAAAACAGATAGAAAAGACCTAATATTATATGTTGTTTCTTTATTTTAGAAAGTATTTCTGTTCCACTTCTCTCATTCTACTTACTGGAAATCTATGACTGCAGATTTTTGAGTGTGCTAGACAGGGGAAAAAAAGATCAACTAAAACATTTTCTTTCTTTGGCTCTTGGACTGGACATTTTGGTTTGGACCTAATTTAACGAGAAGAAAATAGAGCTCAGGAGATCAAACTTCTTATTTCTGTGATAACTTAAGCATCAGACTTTTTAAAAAACATTCATTATATTTTATTTACATGATATAATAATGAATTGCTTTAAGTATTGCTAGAGCAATATCTCTGAGTAATTAGTTAATTATAAGGCAAGAAAGTCTTTCCCCAGGTTGATCTGCGTACGATCTACCCAGCATATGGCAAACTGTGGGTTCAGATCTTTGTTCTGGCAGTTTCCC